AGCAAAGACGATGGTATATCAGTTCTCCACAAAAAGCTAGAATACAAAGTTGAAAAGCTCAAGTACAAGAAGTTGGAAGTCATGTAGCCAAGGATCAGAAACAAATCTGAACTGTCAGTTGGTGAATAAACCATCCCAGATCAGTCCACACGAAGTTTTACAGTCATGATTGATTAATACAGTCAATCATTTAGTGGTGAAGATTAGTGGGGAAGGGTAGGGGGTCTCATTAACTTTCTTTCCCTAAAAGAGGGGGCTTATTAGAGGGAGGGGAGCTTATTTGAGAGGGGGGCTTGATAGAAGATTTATAGTACTTAAAATTCTGAATTTTGCCCCCATTTCATGTTGAAGTTTTGAATCTCTGCCCTCAAATAGGGCAAATCCCAGGTCTGGAAAAAATTGAGAACCCACCATTCAGAATTGGGTGAATGGGCTCCTTGGGGAGTGGCAGTAGTCTCTTTTCTTCATCTCATCTGCTTACACTTTCTAGCTTTCTCTTCATCTTACACCCCACAAGAGAGCCTGTTCATGGATTTTGGAGGCTAAATAGGAAATCTCTGATGTGTACATGGGACGAGGCATTTACCAGTTGTTCAGGAGTGAATGGGTTAATTTGTCATGTCACAAGAATTTAATCTTTATGAATATATGAATCATTAGTTCATCTTCATCTTTTCCTGGAAAGAGGAACCAAGTTAATGACCTGCAGGGGCCCGTTTCTCGAAAGGTCCGGTAGCATGTCAGGTTAAACAACCTGTTGAATAGTAGCACAGTTCTCACAAGCCAGCCAAATTTGCTTAAACTGAAAGTTTTATTGTATCATTTTCAAAATTATTGAAACTATGATCTTGAATGCAAACATGGCAAACATAAAATTGCTTTTTGGGCTCAAAAAGTTATCAGGACTTTCGAGAAATGGGCCCCAGCCCCCTGTTGGCCTGCTAGCGCAACAGATTAAAGGGACCTTATAGTGATGCACTGGTATCGGAGAGGTTAGGGTTCAAATCCTGGCAAGCCTGAATTTTTTCAGACTTTTTTTGTAACTGCATAAGTTGCATCTTCAGCAGCGAGGATCTCCTTTGCATTTAAATTTAATCTTGGGTGGAACTGGAGTAATGAATGAGAGGTTTATAAAGAAATGAATACTGAATATTTGGAGATCAAAAATCTGGGCTGGGTTGTTCAAAGGTTGGTTAAGATCTAGGTTTAGTGCAAAATTTGAATTCAGATATAAAATTCAGTTTTGCTTACAATTTTATAATTTGATGCTATAAAAAGAATAGAGAAAATTATCCAAGAAAATGTTTTTGAAAAAAGAAAAGGAAACCTGAAGTATAATTTAACCCCAGGTTAGAGGTAATTTGCCTTTGAACAACTGGGCTGTGGAATTATGCAAAGCCAATAATCTAGCCTCTCAAACTCGTAACGCAGAAAACCCTCCGTTAAATCACCCCTCCAAATATAAGCCCCCTTGGGGGCTTGTACTTGGAAATTGCCCTCAAATACAAAGTAAAACAAAGCAAAAACAATAAATTCCCTTCCAACTATAAGGCTAGCCCAATCGATTTTGAAACGCAAATTTCCCTCCATATATAAGCCCCTCTGAATATAGGCCCCTCCAAAAATAAGCCCCTCAAAAAGGGCCTTTGAAAAATATAATCCCCGGGGCTTATTTTCGGAATTTTACGGTATCTGACTTTGTGAAAACGGAGATAGCAGATTGAATCCCAAGCTTCTAATTACCTTGACAGAGATCCCAACCTCCAGCAATGAAATTCTGGAAACTGTCTCCTTTTACAGTATCAACCACCCTCCCCACCCCCCACCCCGCTGATACACACAAATCGACCCAGTCTTTAAAGTGATTAACATGGGTGTAGCTCTGGGCATTATAGTTTCGTACATAAAATAAAGAACACCAGAAGTCACTTCAATGACCATAATAAATTAATAATCTTTCTCAGTGATGAAATATGGGCCATAATACTGCAGAAACTGTATGATAAATTGAAAGCATTTTTTAATTTTGGAAAAAAATGAGCTTTTTTGAAACTAAAGCACAGAAAATCTTAAAAGTTGATTTTATCGAGGAGATTTAGTGACCCATACAGGAGACCGGGAGATTTGTGCCATATCCAGGAGACTAAATCATTAGGAAGAGGAGAAGGGGCTGGCTATCTTCAGTCAAGGCATGTTCTCAGTCAACATTAGCTTCCTTTTCTTTAAGAGAAGATGAAGATCTGATGACAGATAATCTTAAAGACGAAACAATATTTTTGAAATCTCTGAGAGACTGGCATCTTAATTGAGAAGTACTAAGATGATTACCAAAATTCACCTTAAAAAACTTCTTCCAGCAACAGCAAAATATACCTCCAAAAAAGGCCTTCTTGGGGAAGCAAAATAGGGTAAGGGTAAGGTAAGGGACAAGGTTCAAAACATTTTTGGATGAAATGCCGGAAAACTTCTGTTTCAAATTTATTAATCCAACTGAAGTGTGAGAAAAATTTCTGATTCTGCTTTGTTTTTCTTTTGCTTGATGAGCCCAAATATCGCATTCTTATTGGTTCAATATCAAAATCAAAGAAAGAATCAGCATCAGTTTTCATTTAGGTGAAAGAAGATAACTTTAACTTCAACAGTTAATATTCCCTCCTTAACACAAGACCCACTTACTATTACAATGGGCATTTCAACAGGTTTGGGTTTTAAGGGTATTTATAGACAACAAAACAGGCTAGCGACTTGTGCTAAATTTGCCAGTCACTTTCTTGTCTTAATTACTTCATTTTACTTATGATCTTACTATCATCTATCGTCTACTATTTTGAGATCCATCAGTACTGATTAGATTCTTACTTCTGTTTTGTTGGTCTCAAGTTTTTGTCATATTAAGAGATGAGGCCCTGCCTTCCTGAGAGGGATTCTTTTTCAAGGCTGGAAGTATGAAAGGATCCCACTTTCACAAGTTGGCTGCTGCGTGCCGATTCATTCATCATCACAGTAACAGATGAAATGCACAGCATTGAGATACGTTATTTGACCATCGAATACGTTTGCGAAAAAGCATATAAAAGGGTGATCCCCTTCTGTGAGTGTCAGGGATGGTATATGAAATTTAAGCCTTTACGCTGTGCTTAACTTTTTTCAGGCCTTCCTTGCTTATAGTTAATCAGAGCCGAATACCTGTAGGGGGTTCGTACAATCACAGGGGCGGATCCAGGTTTTTTTTTCGGGAGGGGGTGCACTCGTCTCTTGCTCTATTTCAACACCAATAAACCACATAGTTTTTTTTTGCAGAATACCAGCTGTATTAGAAAACTGCAGGTCATCTCGGGGGGGTGCGCACCCCCTGCACCCTCCCCCTAGATCCGCCCCTGAATCATAAAAAGTCATTGAATTCTTTGGAAAGTCCTTGAAAAGTCCATCTGTTTCTACCGTAGAGTGGCAAGAAGAATGGAGGTGCTTCGTTGCTCTTCATTCGCTGACTCATCTTCACCAAAAGTCCCAAAACAAAAGCACTCCTGGAATGAGGCACTTGAGCGCACAACACCCAAGGGATATTCTGAATAAAAACTTCCTTATTTCATAATAAAGCTTTAGATAACTTGTTTTAAAAGATCAGCGCTTTTCTGTTAAATCCTTTAAAGGCAAAATGTTAGATACACTTTCTGTTTTTAATCTTCTGAATGTAGTTAATGCCAGTGCCCCCAAATTTTTTTTCTGATAATTTTCAGGTCTGTAGCTGTAGATTTGCTAGTTTGCTATTGGCATCGGTAGCCTGCTTAGGCTGTCAGTTAGATGAGGTTTGTTCACTAAGGTAGATGGACAGATGAATGCATAGCAGAGAGATGGCGGTTCTCGTTTCTAGCCTTTAGACTCTAGCATTCACCAACAGGCGTGACTTTCATTCAACAAAAGGATCATCCCGCAATCCCCTCGCGGTTACTAACATGACGGTTATGTTTTGGCTTAGTAACCACATGTAGCAGACGCAGACTGTGTTCAACCATCCCGATCTCGTCGGGATTCTCCCGATTTTGTAAAATCGTGAATCCCGACCAATCTGCGATCGGGATGGTAAAATTTCGATTTTGACATCGGTTAGGATATTTTAAAATAAATCTTAAGGAACTTAATCACGCATCTAAGAGAGTATACTTAACTGAAACTGATATCCAGAAAAATTTAAAGCATAAAAATGACAATCGATTTCGCCAACATTTTAGCCAAATTGTACGTTCTCAAAAGGTTGGACAGTCTGGACTGCCTTCTTTTCTTGTTTAATTTGTCAGAAACTTGTTTATGAAAACTATTATAGGAATAAAATAGCCTGTGAGCTGTGAGCTCTCCGGGGCGTTCTTGAGGTGGGGCGAAAAACAAGGGCCACAGCGCCCTGGAGAGCTTGCTCACAGGCTAGAAATAAACTTTTCGAACTAAATCCTTATGTGATTGATTACTAAAACGATAACCAGAGGCAAATGACAGTTCCTGTTTCGGTTCAGAAGATCATTCCTGTCCCTCTAAGTTAATAGTGGACGTAAGGAAGTAGCAAATGTGACAAAATGTAACAGAATGTTTCACCCTTTACCGCAAACACTACCGTTTCATTGATTCTATACAACGGTTAAAGAAAGGCAAGTGGATATGCAGAACCGGGAAGAAGTGGATCAAGTTGAACTTTGTGCGTTTATTTTCTTCACGATATACGACATCATTGACATCATGTATAATTGTTCTTTTAGTCCTTCTTATGTTCCTGTTTCAAGGTTAGCAATAAATGCATGCACATAATATACTTGTCATGATTGCAGATTTCTTCTTTTCCTTCCTCCGACTCACTCCAGTCCTCAAAGCTAGTCAGTAATGATGCGGAAAACTTTGTACAAAGCATTTATAGTGTCAGGAGACCAATGAAAAGTAAAATAACTCTCAAGTGGAAGGCAGTAAAGTTCAAAGCACAGTTTTATTTTGTGGCGTTAATGCCGAGGAAGCGTGAACTAGTGGAACTTTGCCACTCTGATGAGTCCAACACAAGCTAGAAACTCATCTTTAGTCATTAGGTCTCCTCTGCTCATCAGGATGTCAACATCTCTGTAAGCTGTGACTTTAGTATTCTCCACTTTTTTCCTTTTGCTTCTGCGAGCATTAGTCCCCATATCTCCTCCGCGCTGTCGTTTTGTCGGTGGGCGATTTCCCTTTGAAGATTTAGAAAAATTCTTTACTTTCTCAAGAGACGCTGATGCTTGATTGTTTGTTTTCTTATAAGCATCAGGCCTTAATTTATTGACAGCTTTTTCTTGCTTGCGAAGAAGCGCTTTCAAAGTTTTAATTTTCTGTTCTCTAGTTTCTGTTTTATCCTTCTGGTTTCGTTGTACAATAGTGGTGGAGTTACAATGTTGTTCGGTCCCTTGTGCTGAATTTCCCTTTTTTCCCATACTGGTGGTACCTTCGGAAGGTTTATTCGTGTCCTGGATATCTGTGCAGGTTGAGTTTTCATACACGAAGTCATATTCGTATCCACTTGATGTTTCTATTATCCAAGCCTGTTCGGCATCAAGAGGCAAGCTAAGGTGGAATAATTAGAAATTTTACTTCGGTTCTTAATGGTTTCGTATGTAAATCTCAAAGTTGAAGAGAGCCGCGAGGTAGAGTCTTGTTGAGGCGGCGAAAACAAAAAGGTTAGTCCGAGCCCCTAACAAGTCAGTCTCCCACAAAGACGTTTTAAGGGGAGCTCGTATGGGGAGGGACGAAATACGAGCTCCCCTAAAATGCCTGCGTGGGAGGCTACTAATGCAACCGGGGCAAGTAATCTAGTTAGGGTCTAGTACCCACGCGTCCGTAACACTAAATAAACATTCAGTTCAGAACACACTATTCTCATGCACTATGATTTTATATTCATCTTTTATTTTCAGTCAAGTTTCCTTTCTTTTTTCCTTTTTTTCTATTCCAGTGGCTTTAATTATACCACACGCTCTGTGATTGGTCAATTTAGTCGGAGCCACGTCCTATCCAATTTCGCCAGTGGATATGGAGTTCAAATCCACCGGTGGTTTGGACCGGGCCATTTCCGGATTTGCGACTTGTTTTTAATAAATTTTTACGTTTATGTAGGATGATGTAGGTGAAGAGTGGGATTTACTGACTGGAGTGGCGCCACTTAAGACAGGGAATTGGGCAAGAGAGCTACTACAACTAATGTCCCTGGCCAGTCACAAATGGCAATGAAAGGCTAATGATGCGAGCGGAAGCACGGGGCCCTCCCCTGGATCCGCCACTGACTGATGTGTATGTGTTTCAAATGTACATTACGCGCGTGCTCCGGCTTGTTTAGCCAACGTGTTCATCTACAGTATACTGTTGCGGATTGCATTATATGATAGTGAAAGCAATAAAGATGAACAAATAAGTCATGCTTTTCAACATTGGACTACTGGTAAAACTCCGGTGGCGTAGCATGATTAAATATTAGCATTCATGTAGACGGTCGACGAATAACATAATTGCAACAAGAAGAGTCCATTGTTTTAAAGTCGCAATACAGGTGGCCCAAGCATAATATGAGAGTTTGTATGGGAAATTTTGATGAAATAAATGAAGTAAAAGCCATAAAAGTTATCAATTAAGTGTAAATATTGTTACCCAGAGTCGTTGTCTTTGTTTTTACGAAGTTGCAGCGCGATTTGAGTACTTTTACATCATCTGACCTTTTTTGGCCGCGCGACACGACTCGTTGAGTTGTATAATTTGAGCATCTAGTTGAGCAGATTCTTCACAAAAAAAAATCATTTCAGTCCACTTACCCGTGGTCTTGTTTTCTGATTTCTTCAACTGGAACTTTCGTTAAACCCTTGTTACGTGTTACATCTTTTGTAAGCTTAAAGTGTTGACCTGATTTTTCTCCATTTTCAGGCGGCTTTTCGGTGTTTAAAGACATAATTTTCTTTTTCCCTTTGTGGCCCTTTCTCATATTATTACAGGTAAATTAGTGAAACCTCCTTGTTAACAATACTTCTTGTTATTTCAAGAAATGGTAAAGTAATTTGGTGGTTCGTGTTTGCATCATTGCTGCTTGTATGCGGTATGCATTGCAACGGTAACGTATTTCCAAAACAGCGCGCGGACTTCGTCGTTTAACTATTTCGCGTTCAAAAAGATGACGACAACAATGGCTTTCTAAAATAATTCTAAATAACGGCTTTTTTGAACAATAGAGACCATAGGGCAGAGACCTTAAGATTCTAAGATGAGGACGACCAGAGTTTGACTAATAGTCGCGGGTCGCGGGTCGCGGGTCCAAAGTCGCGGTCGCGGGTCCAAAGTCGCGGTCGCGGGTCCAAAGTCGCGGTCGCGGGTCCAATGTCGCGGTCGCGGGTCCAATGTCGCGGTAGGGGAAAATGATTTGGGGTTCGAGGTAACAGCTGAGTGAAAACGACT